TATGGCCTGAACCTCCTCAATAGTATGTAGGAATTGAAATGAATTCATCTGTTAATCATGGTAGAAGATGTTCTCACTTCAGCTATATCTGGCAGTTTGGAGTATGCTGCTATCTTCCCATTGCTATGACAAAATTCCTGAGATGAAGGGGGGGGGGGGGAAAGATTGTCTCAGCTAATATTCTAGATGCCTCAGTACATGGTTGCTTGGCCTTATTGTTTAGGATCCTGTAGTCAGTAGTACATCACAGTGAAGTACATGGCAGGAACAATGTTTCTCACTTAATGGTAGCAAAAAGAAAGATCAAAGAGGCTGGAGTCCCAGTTTCCCATTCAAGAGCAAACCCCCCAATGATCCAACTTCCTTCTGTTAGGTCCCACATCCTAGTGGTTCCCTAACTTGGAATAGATCCACGGCAAGTCAACATTTAGCCTTTGGGCGACACTTGGCACATTAACCATAACAATTCCTCTGTCTGGAATCAGCCAGCAATTCAAGAGAGACTTTGTCTGTGCATTTTAGCCATCCATCACTCTCAGTTTATCTTCAAGCCCCCAGATCCTCTGCAGCTTTTCCCCTCAGTCCAGAGCCTGCCACTTCCTGCTGTCACCCCAGAAGACTGTTGGGGGAAAACCAGGCTGAGTTTGTCTCACTCACGTGTTTGCTTTCACTCAGTGACAGACCTTCTCAGATCCCACCTGGATTGATTCCTTCAAACATTTGCTTTATATTTTTTTTCACCACCAGATTTTGATTATTTAGCAGAGAAATTAATCTGACACAAGCCTTTCCCCCTGCAAAGACCCAAAAGCCTCATGCTCTTTCCATTTATTGAGCCTGTCTCAAGATTGCTCAAGTAGGTTGGAAACCTTTTTCTTGGCAGATAAGAAGACTTGATCTTACATCAGTCAATGGAAAATGGACCGATGTTATGGATAACAAAAGAACTATCTGAGATATTTGGTATCTGACTAAATTTTAGGCATTTGCTAAGAGTGACATCATCTTGAGACTATGAAGGTATGTAGGAATTCAGGGTCTAATCAGAGTACAACTCAACTGAAGAAGGTATTTACATAGCTTTAGAATTCTTTTCAAAGGTCGGGAGACTGAGCCCAGAGAAGCCAAACAAATTAAAAACCTTCATGAGTGGCTTGTGAGAAAGGCATTTGCAAGAGTTGCACTCACAGAAACAAGACCTACAAGAATGTTTCTATGCTATGAAGCCTTCAATTAAGGAGTCATAAATAGGACCAGTTGTTTCTTAGGAGCAGATGGAAGTCACCTGTGCTCCAAGGATGTCACCTGTAACTCAAGACTGCCAAAGAGGATTACTTCAAATTAAAGCAGGGTCCTTAAGTGGAGTGAGCATTTCCAGCTCTATCCACGCCCAAGAGAGTAACCTTGAACCATTGTTGCCTTCTTTAGGGAGTGTATTTTTCAATCCTGTTTTTTTTTTTTTTCAGGCAGGAGCTAATGAGAGGACAGAAGCCATATCTGTTACGTTACTAACTCTCCATGTGTGTGTATACCATGTGAGTGGGTGCCCACAGAAGACTGTATGGGATCATAACATGGGTCCTGGGACCCCCTGAAAGAGAAGGAAACACTGCTGAGTGCTGAGCCATCTCTCTGACCCCCATATCTGTTATTTTAGCAGAGTTTCATGTAAGATCCATCAGGTTTTGAGAAAATAAAAGAGCAAAGAAGAAATGTAGTGGAATCTTACAAGTGGCAACTACAAGCACCAGCCACCGCCCTTACGATGTGAAAAGGAGAGGAGCTGACATCACTCAGGGTAGTCTTGGACTTCAGACTCTGCAGAGGAGCCCAGACAGTGTGGCTAGGGTATGACTGAAGGGAGGTGTTAAGGCAGGTTCTGAGAATGTAGAAAAACTGCAAACAGGAACTCACTGCTGCTGCTGGAGCAAACTGTCCCTTCCAGGTTACAAGGACAAGACATGATTCACCCATCCTACCCTCTACCCCCAGTGGTGGCAGCATCTTTTTTTTTTTAATTCTTTATTAATTACACTTTATTCACTTTGTATCCCCCCTGTGGCTCCCTCCCTCCACCCTCTGCATGCATGCCCCTCCCCAAGTCCACTGATAGGGGAGGTGGCAGCATCATATACAGGCCCAACTGACAGCAGAAATGTTTTTGCAGAATCCCAGCCACAACAACACAACTGTTGAAAAGCAGGATTCTTAGCCAACAGTGAAACCAACCAGCTCACCAGGAAGATTTAGCTTTAAGTATGGAAAGACTTAGAAAAGAAATAGCTGGGTGTGGTGGTACTCCCCTTTAGTCCCAGCACTCGGGAGGCAGAGGTCTAAGTTCAAGGCCAGCCTGGTCTACTGAGTGAGTTCTATGACACCCAGGAACCCTAGCTTGAAAAACCAAACAAAAGAAAACAGAACTGCAGCATGGGTTAGTGTTTCAGGTGAGGAAGGGACTAAGATATAGCAAATATTTTTTGACACGTGATATTTAAGAAAATAAAGCCCATTTCTGACAGTTTTATAAGTCCACTTTAAAATATGTAATTGAAAACTGACTTAAACTTGTGATGTTTTACCGTGGCATTTAAGTTTACGTAGAATAGAATACACTCATTTAATGGAACGTCCAGCTTTCTTCATAAGCTCGATTTATCAGCTTCCATTGGTGTAGGATTCTTTTGCTTAATGCCAGAAAAACAGACATATATAAAAGAGCTAGATCAAATCTATAGATTCACTTAAAAGTGTGTGAAGGGCTGGGCTCAGCTCATAAACAGGACTAAGCATTAGTCAAAGGTTGCTCAAAAGCTATTGCTAAAACCTGCTAGATTTATAAACAGAATAATCAAATCTGTCATCCAAATGTAAAAGCCTAAAAAAGGTCTTTGAATTTACTTATTGGCTCTAATGGCAAAGAATATGATTTGTTACATTCATAATTGTTACATTTACTAAGTATTAAGTTTTAAAGCCACACTTAAATAATATAAAAGGGGAAGAAAAAAAAAACTACCGAAGTCTATTCTTCGAATGGAAAGCCCTTTCTAGGACACTGAACTCTCCTTGTCCAACTGTTGTCCATGTCCTCTGCCAGTCCTCAGTTTCTCTGGGAACCACAAACCATCACTCACCTTGTAGCAAGAGCTGGTTAGCTCCTGGCTGGGGGGCTCTTTTCTCTCGAGCCAGGATGCCTTCTAGAGGAGGAAGCTACAACACTAGACATGGGGCTTGGGTTCCAACCACTCTAGTTTCCAAGGAAACAGGCAAGCACCTTGGCTATTTTTCTATCACTGTATTCCTAGCACCAAGAAAATTGTTTATGCAGTGAAAGCATCCCCAAAGCATAACAGGTTAACTGGGCAGGTAAATGGATGTGTACGGTGATAGATCATCATGGATAGATTTAAGTCGTTGGATGTGCCCATGACTTAAAACCCAACATGCTTGTGTTAATCTCACAGTTCTGTAAGTCACAAGTCCGACAGGGTTCTGAGAGGCTAGAAGCAAGTTGACAGGGCTGTGCTCCTCTCCGGGAGCTCCCTGGGATAATGATTCCTTGCCTGTGCAGCTTCCAGAGGCTATGCCTACCTTACTTCACCACTGAGGTAGAATGCCCAATGACCGTCCACCAGCAAAACTACAGCGCAATCAATCAGCTGAGACAGCATCTCTCCAAACATGTTTATTAATCCTTCCAAGGCCAAAAACTGGTGCCAACCCTCTCAAAGTGTTTATGCAGAAAGTAAAACATTATAAATTTCTTCTGTCAAGTAGACTTAGAAAGGAATATGTGAGGAGCCCATGATAAATATAATACAGAATGCATCCCTGCTGGGTCAAATACTCTAGGAGCAAAGACTGTGGGGTGTTTTGTTTTCTATCCTGTTTTTTGCTGTTGTTTTTTTTATTTTAAGAAGCAGGGTTTCTATGTAGCATTGGTTGTCCTGGAACTTGCTGGTCTTGAACTCAGAGATCTACCTGCCTCTGCTTCCCAGGTGCTGGGAGTGACGGTATATGCCATCACTGCCCGGTTTAGGACAGTTTAAGATTGTGTTTGAAAATAAGTCTTGAAGATCTTTTTTAGTGTTTTCTACGCTCCTCAGATGAGATGCTTCTCCAAAAAAAATCTTGCCTACCGAATTCAGGCTGGCCAAAGAAACCAAGGGCAAAGCCAGCCTCTGGAGAAGACACAGGACAACAGAGCAGGTAGCACCCAGGCAGTGTGGGGTTGTTTTGAGGGCAGAATGCACCATGGCCAGTTTTACTGTGCTTGCAAATTCAACCAAAACATACTCTGAACTGCAGCACCCATGCTGTAAAGAAACACTGCTCATTGTATCTATTTTGAAAACAGACAACAAGAAAGGAGTTTAGTTTGTAAGTTCACTCAAAGCCCAGAGCTGGGATTACTTTCTGTCACTAAACTTCAGCCGAGGGAAACCCTTGGCATAAAATAGCAAATAACTTTCCATGGGCCGGGGGGGGGGGGAGGTTGTTGGTGGAGTGAGGGTGAGGGGAATGGTTAAAACTGGTACAGGAAACACTCTTGCAATAAGCCTGATGGCTAAAACACCCACTGTGTCTGTAAAATGTTGGTGAGTACAGTCTGGGATAGTTCTGGACTAGTATCAGGTGCGTTCAAAATGAAACTTGTACTGTTTAAAGTCAGCAGCAATGAGGTTCAACATCCTGCCCACTTTCAAGACAAGAGCTCATCCATTAAACTGACAACTGCTGTCTTCAGCAGACACGTCCAAGATAAGTGAAAAGGCATTTTAAAAAACATGCCTTGCTAATATCGTATCAACAGAAAAAGCAAACCCGAACATGACTAATTCATTGGCCTGGATCAATAAATAATCTCAAGCGTGTGTTTGGCGTACTGACAAGGACCTAGCCATCAGTTAACTTAAATGAACTGCAGAGCTCTGCATGCTAACACACATTAGCTCACATACGGGGGGGGGGGGCTTTTAAATTATCTGTGTGTGTGTGTGTGTGTGTGTGTGTGTGCATGCTTGCACGCACGCACTTTTTTGAGTGCACTCAGCTTCCATCAGAGCGTAGAAGAGGGCATCAGAATGCCAGGGACTGGAGTTACAGGTGGCTGTGAGTGCCTGAAACAGGTGCTGGGAACGAAATCACGTCTTCTGGACTCTGTAAGAGCAGCCTGTGCTCACGAGCACCGAGCCATCTCTCCAGCCCCCACACTTGTAGACTTTAGACACCACACAGAGGCAGATGATTCTTTTGTTTGAAACTCTGAAAGGAATCTGAACATTTCTCTTTGTGTATGTGGTGTGTATGTGGTATGTGTGTGTGTGTGCGTGTGCGTGCGTGTATGGCTTCAAACACTGTGTGCACTTGTATGGGTGCAGGCGCATAAGCAGTCTGTGCACACATGTTGACATTCCTCCTTTGTCATTTTCTCTTGGAAGGACAAAATTTAAACAGCTTAAAAACTACGATTTCTAAAGCAGAACCCATCAAAAGCACAGCTGTGTTCAGACCTGTGTTCAGGCCCAGAAGCTTAGATGACTTTAAGGGCCTTTTCTCCTGTTGCTGACTTATGCATTGAAATCCTAGCAACAAAATTTCCAAAGACTGAGCAGATCCTGAAAGGCCAGCACACACCATGAGCAGCCTCAGGAGAAACCTTCTATGTTGTTCTGAGTTTCTATTTGCAAGACCACAGATGAACAGGAAGCCAGGGACTCAAGACAAAAACCTGCCCTTCCCTAATCTGTAGTAAGGACCCAGCACAGTAACAGAGCTGCCTCAGATAGCATCATGAGACAGATGTGACAGGAATCTCAGACACTTCTGGGTACTTCTATAATTTCAGGGAATAAACATCCCTCCAAATAAAATGTGTCCACGTCCTCACCTCTCTCCGTCCACTGTAAAGCAGACACACTCCAATCACTATACTTGGCCAGGAGGCAGTCCCGATTCCAGCACGGCCTTCCCTAGAAACCAAGACACTTACAACACAGGCCGTTCCAGACTGGCTATTACAGAGCTTGAGGTATGTAATTCCTGCCCACTACTGATCCATTTGTTCTGAGCTATCCCGTCACCTTTTGAAGGGGTCCCCTTGTGTTTAGTCTGCAAACACAGACCACCGGAAATGAACAGTGCAAGATCCTACGTGCAAATATTTGCAAACATTTTTTTTTTTTTTTTTTTAGCAATACACATTTTACAAATTCAAGTGAAATCCAGGTACAGACTAGGTCAGTTGCTGTCAGGCAGCCTCTCATATACCCAACAGGAAAGCGGTCAGTTCCTGAAACTGGAGGGAGAGTAAGGCACCGATGACTGAGAAAGTTCATTCCTGCAATCTGGGGTGAAGCCTGAGAGGGACATGCCCAGAGGCTTATGCAAGACAGGGCTACACCAGCCTGGTAGGTTCTCCTAGGCAAAAGCTCTTCATGTAGACAGCACACGCCTGGACATATGTAAGGATGGACCCTTGCCCACAAGTACGACAATACTTTCCCAGGAACTCTGCAATTAATGTGATGAGAGGACATTCCCAGGGCCGTGTGGCATGGGTAGCAGTTGACTTCCATGCTCTAGAGAACCTCTACTGTTCTTTCTACCCATTGGCTTCTGCTTCACAGGATCATTAGGGGAATTGCAAAGTCTGGCCCATTCCAAGATGCCCATATGTTGCCTGACCTTCTGCTATAATAATGCCAGAGCATTATATACTAGGAGCATCGACATGTCCAATAGGATGGGGAAGGCCCAGAGACAAGGATCCAGGTGACTCAGGCAAGGCTGGAAGTCAAGAGAACAGTGGCACGAGGAGCTGGTCACAGACACCAGAGTGGGGAGCCGTACACGTGTTTCTCGAGGCATGAGGACTTGGCTTATGCCCTGAAGAAAAGGCAGTGTTGCCCAAAGCAAGAGCCCCTTGGTGATCCTGGGAAGGAGAAGGGGTTCATCCTGGCTACAAAGCAGGGATGCTGTCCCTGGAGGTGGAGGCTCAGCTGAGGGATGCACAGTTCAGCTCTGAGTCGTCCTGGCTGCCGCTTGCCACGTCTTCTAGTTCCAGTTCATCAGGGCTATCGGGTATGCTGGGCTCACTGGAGCACTGGCGATGCGGTGGCGGGAAGCTGGGTGGCAAGAGCAGGTGCTTGTCCTCGTTGCCAGCCTCCTCCCCCAACCCTGAGTGCATCATGGTGGCCATAGCCAACAGCTGGATATCCGAGTGGGCATTAGCCACTGTGTGCCGACGAACACTGCCACACTTCTCCAGGTAAGCCTCCCCTTCCTGTTCTGTGAGGGGGGTCAAGACCATCTCGTTCACTGGCCGGCCAACTGTGGTCATGAGAGAGGCATAGTTCAGGACAGTCACCTTGGGCCGGACCCTGGAATGCCTCCTGGCTGCAAGAGAAAAAGCAGCAATGGCTGTGATTAGGGAATGGTAAGAGGTGGTGACCAGAAGCTTCTCTTCAGATTGAGGATAAAGGTGTGAGGAGCAGAGTTCAGATCCCCAGAACCTATGCACATGCCAGGTGGGTATGGTGGCTTCCCTGTGATTCCAGCACTCAGAGGGCAGAAACAGGGGATCCCTGGGGCAAGTTCCTACCTAGCTAGACTAACATGTATCAGTGAGTTCTAGGATCAATGGAGAGATCATGAGTCCATGAATAAAGTGAAAAGCACTCAGGAAGACTCCCAATGTCAGCCTTGGGTCTACAGCTGCTGCTTTTTTAGAACTGTGCTCCAGAAACCGCTGAAGTTTCATAGGCAGAAGGCTTTGTGGTATTGAAGTAGCTGTTATACCAGCTACTCAGGAGGCTGGGACAGGAAGATCTCAAGTTAAAAGCCTGCCTGGGATACAAAGCAAATTCAAGGCTAGTCTGAGCAAGTGAGATTCAGTTTCAAAACAAAGAGTACAGAGAGGGCCAGTGGCATAGTTCAACAGTAGAGCATTTATCCTGCATGTGTGATGACCTAGGTTCAAATCTCAAGATCACAAAAATTAAAAATGGTTAGCATGCATTCTGGACTCCAACTAGAGGCTGAACCTAAATCATAGCATATCAATATTGTAAGTGTCTACTTTCAAGAGGAGAAAACTCAGT